GCTCCGTGAAAGAACCTGCCATTAATCTTCTAATTGCACGGGGACTTAACCATAAATAACTCTTTTCTGTTCCAAATAGATCCCTATGGATGGAAGTGCCTTTCCACAGGAAAACAAAATGTCGCGTGTTAAAACTCTCTACAATTTTGGTTTTCATTGTTGTGCTTGCACGGGGACTTAACCATAAATAACTCTTTTCTGTTCCAAATAGATCCCTATGGATGGAAGTGCCTTTCCACAGGAAAACAAAATGTCGCGTGTTAAAACTCTCTACAATTTTGGTTTTCATTGTTGTGCCTACATTGTCTTGTGTTGTCAAATGATTTAGTACAAAACGGATGGAAGCGCCTTTCCACAGGAAAACGAAACGTCGCGTGTTAAAACTCTCTACAACAATTTTGGTTTTCATTGTTGTGCCTACATTGTCTTGTGTTGTCAAATGATTTAGTACAAAACCAGTAATTCACATGAAAACAAAAATGCATGAACATTTTGCGTAAGCTTCAGATTTTTCCTAGTCTATGGGACACAGGCTCGGATTTCAGCGTTGTAATTACCAATAGTAAGGGTCCATTATTGAACAACCAGCAGTTCCCATAACTGCATAGAAGCTGAATAACAGAATACAAATTACATGGACATATTTAACACATCTCTGGCTTTTCTGTTTGTTACATGCAATCTTTTAAAATTTCATTATTTCATAATAATCTGATACAAGTAATTTTGATCACCCCTTTGCTGTGTAACTAATATTTCTTTGGGTCAAAACCAAGTAAATGATTAAACTATCCGGAGCAGCCTTTTATACCTGCAAAGAATTGATTAAAAAAACCAAGTTCCATTTTTTTTTTTGTTAAATCCCTCAAAGAAAGAAAAGGAATACTTTTTAGGATTTTGATGGACAAAACAGAAATAACCAAGAATCACTGTAAAGTGTCACTTGAGATGCTTGGTATTAGAAAAAAAGGCATCTTAGATGAACTCTTAGCTTGTAATGATTCAGTTACATCTCAAACACGGCTGCGTTTCATAGTATTTTTAGTCAGGCCTCTCAGGAAATCTCACTTTTTTTTCAGTAAGTTAGCACTGCTAGCCCTTTGGAGTGATTATGCGTGACCATCTCAAAGGTAAAACATCGTACACGTGACTCTTTCAAGATAATATAAAATGGTAACTGTGCCTCTGCCTTCTACCTGCACCCTACTCCTGGAGATCAGAGTTAAGGCCACGATCTTGGAGAACTCAGGGTGATTGCAAGTTGGACCCATACACCATTCTCTGAGGCTTACCTGTGATGGGGTCGTCACATTGATTTCTGGGACAAAGTTGTCGTCAAAGAAGTTAATGATGTTGTCCTGTTGCAACTCCTTCGTGGGCGTGAGCTTAGGCAGTGGTGGGACTGGTGGACCTTTCCTCAGCTAGGCAGACAGCAAAAATGTCACAGACTAGTTCAGGGATAAAAGAAAGAGCTTTAGGCTAGGCCTAAAAGATTTGTGTTAGGTTTTTATCTCTGCTGCTTCACCTTAAATGTGGGAGTAAGACATGGCTTGAAAGGAACTGTTTGATTGTTCACCAGCAAATGCCTTGAAACAAACGTGGGAAAATCAAAGCAACTCTATGTTTCAAACTCATTCCAACTCAAGGATTAAGATTTCATATGAGAGCATTTCTTGGCTGATTTTTTTCTGCTGTGACGGACACTTGCTCTCCTATGCAGCCCATAGCTGGAAGGGCGACGCTGCACAGAACCAGCCCTCTGCAGCATTTTGCTTCTTAAATTCATTCTCACTCAGTTTTGGGATTTTGCCCTTACTCATGTGTTTAAAGCCTACTTACTGCTAAGAGCATATAATCTCTGGGAACCACAACACCTCACAGATGCTGAGGTTAATACTTCCCCCCGCTCTCCAGAGATTCATGTAACTATAACAAACTAATTGCTTGGAATAATGCCAAATACTATTGGATAATTTTAAAATCTGTCAAAATACTAAGAAATTAAAAATCCTCAGGTGGTGTAGTGACATCACACCATTGGCTAAACGGATTCATATCAGATGAATATTCAGGCAGTGAGGTGTCACACGTTGGGAGACCAGAGGAAACAAGTGTGCTCATAGGTAATCAAATGCAAAACTAAATTTCTTCTCATGTGTACCCCCCAAATGCAAAACTGTTTCTTCTGATGTGTACCCCCCAAATGCAAAACTAAGTTTCTTCTGAAGTGTACCCTGCACAGAAACAGCATTCAGCACAGAAGCTTTCCCCATTCTGAAAACATCGGTAACATCAACACAAGTCTTGAATTCGATATGAAGTATCACGTACAACTTTTATGCTGCAGATGATGGCTGTCATGACACTGATTCTTATTTCACCAATACTGGTGAGAACAGAAATGACTCCAACAGTGTCAAACTTCTCAGTTCAGGGTTAACAACAACCAACAAGCCTTTCCTTATCAGTAGTTGTCACAGTGGTATTTAAGCTAGCTCTATGATTTACTGTTTGAGAGGGAAGTCCATGTTGGCCAGAGCAGTGACACTCACTGGCTCATTTTATATCAAATACAACATCTCAGCTATCTTTGGCTGCACAACTGGCCAGTTTCTCCTCTAAGCTTTGCGCTTACCTGTGTGGGTGACTTCGGCCGGGCCGGTGCCGGAGACGCTGGTGCCAGCATATGGTTGGGACTAGCGGTAGGGCTAGGCAGGGGAGAGACCTCCTCTGGAGGTGACGGCGTTTTGGCAATGCGGAGTGGACCTGAGTCACTAGACAGAAACAAAGCAGTGGCGAGGACATACATATCGTGCTGCCTTGACAGTTGGATGCCACAGTTGAACTGCACCACTGATGTAATGCCAGCGATCACAAAATGCAGTACACACTGGAGACAAACAGCCATTATATAATGACCAAAACAAATTAAATTCGAGTAAAATTCAGTGATGTACAGAGTCAAAGGAAGCTTTAATTTGGCGTGATCTTGATTTTTGGAATATCTGTTTACTTGATGATTATAACTTGAGGGAAACAGTACCTGCATTTTTTTCAGATTCTGTATTTGAAACAATGTTTCATGTGTAAGTTTGTAACTATCATAAAACGTGAGATGGAATTATCGTCTTCATTTCACACAGTTCTCAGAATAAGTCTCTAAAGATAAAAATCCCACCGGAAGGCACAACAATGAATAATGCAAATAATTTTAAAAGCTCAGCAACCTCAGAAAGGTTTCGACAAAATAAACCACAACCAAGATTACGATCAGGTTATCGCTATTTCGAGGGACGACTCACCACAACTATAAACAAGCAGTAGTCAAGGGACTTCAACAGAGCTCTGCTGATATTAAGGAAAGATCTGCTGAAGTCCCTTCCCATGAAAGGACCTGGTGCAAATACTGAGACACAGCTACCTAGAAATGCTGAAAGCTTACAATTCGGGGAGGCTATAAACTACAGCACTCAACAACCACAGTACTCGGTAAGAGAAGAGCGACTCCTACACATCTTCAGGGAGTATGGAAGCGCTACCTGATTGAGGAGACCACACCATAAACATGTTCCTAATGCTAACACAAGAAAAACTCATTCTCTGGAAAGGACAGACTTAGCTCACACTCACCACCTCTTTCTGTGGAGATATTAAAAAAGAAAAAACCAAGCAGTTATTAAGAAATTTCTTTCCCAGGTACAATATTTGCCTTCAGGATAGCGTATTCAGTAGCATACAAGTTTTTAAGATGTTTCTTTTTATACAGTTCTTTAAAGGAAAGATTAGATTCTGTACTTGTCTAGTATCTATTTATCATGCATCTAAAAGGGAAAGATGTTTAATCTTGCAAAGATCCACTCCTGAGTAGTCTTTTAGAGCATCATAACTAATACTGGAAGTTAAAATGTATCCAGATTTTCACACAAGGCTCTGTGAACACCACAGCCAAAGAGAGTAATATAGTAACTAAAAAAATAATGTGTTTTTAAAAAGCATTTAAAAATAAGTTAAGAAGTCACACTGCATTGACCTGTATCTACAGATTTTCAGCAATAAGTATAATTAGTTTCTCTCATTGATGGAATTCAGTGGGAACGAGCATGTGCATGCTGGATATGGTCTAGGAGAGACAGGTGGACAAAATGCCCGTTTTTTACAAAAACAGCTTAAAGTTTTCCAACACTACACCATTTTTCATCCCATTAAAAGTATTTTACAGATCCTTTATGGAAACATAGTCCAGCTCATAAGTCCATCCTAAAGGGACTGGAAGCGGTGATGCATGAGGTAATAACTCCAGAGGCAGCGTGTAAATACATATATGAGCACGGATTAACACTGAACTAATCCAAAGCAAAAATTTTGGCCAGGTTCTTAATAAAGTCATTCTGAATTTTGCATTAGGTCACAAGGTTCAATATTTCATTCTTTGTTTTTCCCAAGTGAGCTCAAAACAAATGTAGAAATATCAGCCACATGTTTGAGCCAGATGTGATGTTGTTTGCTCCACCTTAATTGTTGCTAATCTGAGTCCAGCTTGAGGACAACATTGTCCTGATTGCTTCTGATGAGCTGGGATAGTCTGGAAATTCAGGATTTACGTATTCACTCTAAATATCATCGTGTTTTGATAAGTCTCACTATTTTATAATTTCCACATCTTCTGCCTATCACTATTACAGTACCAAGAGATCAAATTATGGTAGAAAGGGTACATTTGTTGCAAGCAAAAAATCAGAAATACTACACTGGCATTCACTGAGTTTACGAAAGCAACATCTGATTTTAAACTTTTTTTGCATTTGTTTTTATTTTAAGTTAAGTTTTCTCCTGGAAGTCATTAAAAAAATATGGTATGTTGTGACATTCCTTTCACGTCAGCTTTTCTGCTTTTATGATGCACTCTCAGATCATATTTTTTGACTTTTCCCCGCAAGCAGAATAGATAAAAGCTGACTTACAAAGGTTGGGATTCTCACCTAAACATATGCCTTTAGGAGCTGAAAACACATCTGGATATTTCAAGGCTTTAAAAAAAAATTATGGGAGTCAGCAACATTTCTGGAAACTAAGCATCTAAGAATAAATGAGCTATATTCTTAGCCTGTGCAAATTGGTGTAATAGCCTATAATGAACAAGGCTAAATAGCAGCAGTTGAGAATCTGGCCTTTGTGTGTTGAAAGGAAAAATAAGTGGGTGATGAAGGCAGATTTGCACCTTCTCTCATGTTGAGAAGAACTTCATCCAAGCTAATTCATCTACCATCCTGAATGAAGAGACCCAGTTGTTGTGTTGTGTGTAGCAATCGCTACACATGGTGCAGGTGACTACTACATATGCTGAAACCCAAAGCTACTGCATTGCATCTCATGAGAAAAAGCAGTAAATTCACCTTGGTGCCCCTTGAATGGTGAAGGCCTTGTCCGCGTGCTGATCTCCCAGCTTCGTCATCACTTCATATAGTTTGTGACATAGCTGAGGAAACAAAACACTCGCCTGAGTTTATACGAAGCACTCTAGTCATGATTAAAAACATACCTGATGTGACATACCTGGTCTGATAATTGACAACCTGATAATACACAACCTGATAATTTTAAAATGGCAAAATACTCAGTGCCACACATACCAAAAGCCTAAGTGGGAACCTATCCTAACCTATAAAAGCAAAGATAACAGCAGTTCTTCAGGAATGTTCGCTGGTTTTCAGAGGACAAGTTTATAAGTGTCACTGACCGCTGCCTGATGTCTGATGAAGGAGGTCACCTGAAGTTTAAGGCAACATGGGTATCCGAGAAGGTTCAGGTTTTTCCCTAAAAACCCTAATCCCAATTTACCTAAGACTTCAGTCAAGCGCATTTGCCAAACAATTTTGGTGACTATTAGTAGGTTACTATAGATAATACACTACCATTTAGCAATAAAGGATCAGAAGATCCTCACTGGAACGGCTCCATTTGCCTAACAGCTACAGACAAAACACTGCGTTGCTGACAACGCATAGCGGTCTTGAAGGGAACGCTTGACATGGGGGTTTTGTACTGATTAGAGCAACAAGATGCTTAGCGATCAGACATCAAAAAAATGCTGAAGGCAACAGTATGCCAGAAATAGGGGAGAAGTAATGAAAATAGAAAGTGAATGTGGTGCTACAACTGATAATGCACTGTAATCCAAAACGGTATGGGCTGCCCTTCCTTAACGATTGTACAGGAATGGCAAGTGGAAACGAATACAAAGGTTACAGTACAAACCTGGATCTAGGGCAAATTCTCATGTGTGCCTCAGATTTTTACCGCTGCATTACAAGACATTTGCTTGCTTTTATGCATATCCATAATATAATCCATTATACATGAGAGACTCATTTTTACTCACTACAGCTATTTCCTTGTGAAACTTGGCTTCGAGGCTGGATACATTTTTGAAGGTGTTCACATAGAAGCCAACTCGTCTACGGAGGATGGCACGAAGAAAGGAAAAAGAGAATAAAAGATAGGGGTGGGAGGGCCACAAAGGCACATCAATTTATTTTTTTCCCAGACCACAAGCAACATTCTTTACTATTACTCTCAGCAAAGCAAATAATTGGATTGAATATCAAAATTTCAGACTAGTTTGTTCATGATTATTTCTGTTTGTTTTAAGAACCGTCATATTTCACACTGTGCAGAGTGAACCAAGTCATGACTACTCCACAGCAGGGGCTTCGGCTTGGTTTGGAGAAGGGGAAGATTGGAAAAGATCAAGTGCGGCACAAGCACACTGAGGGCAAGGTGCTCTGGGCATCCTGGCTCCCACCGGACAGCGGGCAACCAGTGACCGGAAGGAGAGAGGTACCACCCCAGCACGGCAAGCACCTGCGCCCTGGATGCCATCGCAGCACCTAGGTGACGCAGGGCATCTGGAGGTGGCTTTCAAGTTATACAGCTCAGTACAAACTGGGGGTGGGTGTCCCATGCTCCGCCCTCCTTAAAGAAATCTACCCTGAAATACATGCATGTGTATGTAAGAGGCAATAATTTCTAATACAGACTAGACGTTTTTGCACATGCAGTCAATAATCCGCTTGCTTGGGGTGAGTGACTACATACCTCTGGTACATTTCAAAAGTAGAAGTGGTTTTCTTAGGGTTTGCATTATTCTTTTTCCTACTTAAAACTTTCATGTGTGATTTCTCCAAACTTTTATTAACAAAAATAACCTTTGGCATAAGCACAAGCATGCAAAATGTCAACTCAATGGATTATTTCCTTCCTGAAGAATTGTAATATCTGGAAGAAGAAGGATTCTGAAAGCAATTGCTTTCTAAATTATGCCTGTTGCTCAAATTAAATTCTACCTTTCCCTAGATGAGTTAGTGGGCAACACACATATTGAAACAGAAGGGCCCTGACTCTAAATTATTCAAATGCAGTTTTACTTTTAGTAAGCCCATAAAAATCTTGAAGTGCTAAGAAGCTTTTCAACTGAAAGAGGCAGAAACAGCACGAAAAACCTCTACTGATCTGAAATTTAACAGGAACTAATTCCGAGGGCCAAGAAGGCAAAGGATACTTCAGTGACTCACACCACATTTCCATTCCAGACTGACATTTGTTAAAGAACATGGCACACTAATGAGATGCTTATTGTTCTACTGCTTTTGTTCTCCCCTTCATTTTGTCTGCGTTCTCTGTATAAACACAATTAATGATTAAACATCTTGAATGAATGTCTATGCTATCCGATGCTTTTATAGCGCAGACACAGTCAGTGCAAAACTATGAAATGTATATTCTGATGTAGTTGTAAGGGTTTTTTTCCTTCTTCTAGTGCTTCGGTAGTACCTTATAGGAACTTGGATACCACAAATCTTCGTTCATTTGTAACATTCTTTGTTTTGATACCTTTTACAGAAAAATAGCCTATAAGCAGACCGATTGCAAATCTCAAAAACCACGTGGCTGCTCTCTACAGTTACTTCTGACATCGGAAACATCTGTTCCTTTTTATTAACACGTGGCTTTTTATTTTTTCTTGAAAGGATCAGGTATCCACCACCAAGGTGTCTGAGAAAGGTTATGGAAGCCATGGGTGATAGTCATGATCTGTCATCCTGTGCTCTGGCACAGTTCTATATCCAGAAAATAGAGATCTTTTTGCACCTCAGAATGAAGATATGATAACGAATCTTAAGTGACAAGACACACGGAAAGAAAGGAGCATAAATACACTTACAGTAAGTATAATTTTGGAACATTTGCAGGCATTTTCCCTTTTTTCATTTCAAAAAGATAATGGATGGGATCTTCAAGGAGCCACCAAACCATTTTCTATCAGCACACTAAAATCCCCTGGTTCCCTTTCCTCACTTCCCCTTTATCCCTTACAGACAGTAATGGCATAGGCTTACCGTGACCAGAGAGAAGGCAACTCTTCTTGTAAATCAGTGTTGAACTCTTCAAACACTTTCTGTGCTTTTTGAAATTCTTCTTCTGCCTAAACCAAAATGAGACAGGGTGACTTCCGCCCTCACTGCAACATAGCAAAACCTGCCAAAACTGTTTTTGTGGGTCTTTTACAATTTTTATTAACAAAGGATGTGACTCTCCCAAAACCATGCAGGCCAACACAGGACCTGCTGTCCCCTAAGTCTCATTAAGAGAGAAAGTTAGGACTCAAACGGGGCTCATTCCTGAGCAGCTGAGCATGCCCACCACATGCATCAAAATACTCAACGCACAGTTATCCCAAAGGATATCATTATTTCCACTTCTGAAAGAGGAAAAAAGAAGAGAAATGTTGTGCTCTGTCTCTGCACAGAAACAAATGCCACCCAGACTCCCTAAGTCTTCTGCCAGCATCCTTCTGATTGTGCTACCTTGGTAATTCTGCCTTCGTCTTTTCTTTTGGAGCTCTGCAGGGCTTCTAGATGATGCCTTGCACTGTCGTAGTCCACTAGCTTCCTGCTTCGTTTTGCAATGCGAGTCTGTACAGGGGTAGAAATGAAAGTCAGCACGAATAGCACTTTTTTTAAAATCTATTTTACCTATGTTGTCATTTAAGTTTTTGATATATTTTTATTCTCCCCCACCTGGTGTTCATATCTGAATTACTGTATAATGCAGGAACATGGGCATGTTGAAAGAGACAAGCTAAACATGTTATTTTAAATAAAGAATCCATTTACAGATGGTTTGGAATGGTTTTTTGTGGGTGTAGGGCTTACAAAGTGAGATGTCGATGTTATGCAAGAGTTGTTTCCTTCTCCAGAATAAGTGGACCTGTTAGACTGATGGCAACACCACCTTTTTCCCCCTCATATCTAGTGTGCAAATTTAATTAATAATTAATGTGGGGTTTTTTCCTAGACTTCGAAAAATGCTTCCAATGTATTTCTCAGTGCAGTTGCTCTGACACACAACTAAGGTAACTGTAGTTCAACATACAATAGGAATTCTGTTTTAGTGCTATAGTTCTTTTAAAAGTAAATACTTTTGACAGATACTGACTTTACAAAGCAAAATATCGTATGTAAACTTCACATGGTGAGAGGGCATAAGCACAGTGTGATTTACAAGCAACTTTGAGACTGAAAGTCAGTAATGTTGGGGTTTTTTTAATCATTTTTGCTTTAGTCCCTGATGTAAATGATGAAGAGGATGACTGTGATATCTACTCAGTTGTAAACCACCAGTCTCCAGCTATGTCTATATAGTCACATTCAAATAGAAAGGTATCAACCTCTCACCTGTAAAGATTCATTATCCCCACACATTTCATTTAGCAACCATCTCCCTGGAGTGTACACCCAACAGGCACCTGGGAGAGGCTAGAATCTGCATAAGAGTCTCTCCTGATGTGTATTACAAAACATTTTTATAACTAATTAAAAGAGAGGAAGCATGAGTTAGTTAAGAGAAGGATATTTAGATACCCACAGGTGCACCTAGCTAATAAGAAAAGGCCTGCTTTTCATGTTGTAATTTGTCTGGCATTTTAACAGCTGAAGTGCTTAATGAGTTCCTCTTGAAGCCAGTGAGAATTATCTCATACCAAATAAATAGGAGCAGAAAAAAACCATAAAAGTTTTATCTACAAAGGCTTCCAAGTACTACCACATGAATAATATTTTTGTTCACTTGGAAAATCAGTGCAGCCTAATGTCAGGGATTTACTTACAAAACAACTTTTACATTGCAGAAGAGAATTACTGCCCCCTCTCCCCCTTTTTTTTATTTTTCTATGCTTATAATCTCATTTTCTGTTTGTTTTATGGCTCAACAGTAATTTTACAAATGGTCCTTTATAGGAAATAATTACTGTACTTTGATATCAGGAAATTGTCCTAGATATGTATCCAAGGTCAACAACGACCCATCCACCAGTTTTTGATGGAAGTCTTCCCAAAGTTCATCACATTTCTGTCAAGGTAGAAAAGAGAAAAATGCGCTTAGTAGTTTAATTCCATTCCAAACCTAGGGGAAATACAAATGTAATTGGTAAAGATTAATCTTTCTGAAGTTTTAAAAATGTTCTTTATGGCAATAAATCAGAGTGTGCTTATAAGGTAAATGAAAAGGAATCCCTTGTCATTGCAAGTTTTAATTCACAACAAAAGATTTAGTGTAATAGTTTGTGTTTTCATTCTTTCAAATAGTAACTGCTATGTGAAAATAAGTCTGTCATGGATTCAGGGCCTTCCTCAAGGTGTCAGGTCCCCGAGGGTCAACAACGCAGAACCCAAAGCTGCCCCAGCTGCCTAAGTACGCTCACTGATGAGGAATCTTCCTTCCAGAGAGAAGCAGCACAACTGAAAATAGAAAAGTAAATAAAAGAAAGGAAAAAAAAAGAGTGGGTTTCCTATCAATTACAAAGATTTGTAATCTTATCTTGGCTTGGTCATTTTTACAATAAAAGCCATGGAGACCCACCCTAAGAAAGGACTTTCCATCACATACTTTTTGTGCCATTAAGGCACATTTGATGAAACGGCTGAGGCATAGACAAGGACCCTGCTTCGCAGTCCTAGAGAACTGGGATGTCAGACATGAAACATGCCAATATCAGCAGGCAAAATCCCCCCCAGGAGCTAGACTGCTTTTACCCAGTCCCCTCTGCAGCTCTGGGGTAGTCACCCAGAGACACCCCTTGCAGTTTTCTGGTTTTTAAGAACGTGTTAATGCAGCTGATGTGACAGGGACCCTGTGGAGAGCAGGGTGAGATTCCTTGCCAGAAGCAAATGCTGCTACAAGGAAACAGTGCTCAAGGTCCCAGGTTCTCAACAGAACTAGTCATTAGCACATGTTAAGCATCCTGATCCCTCTTTTCTTTGCACATTTCAAACATCACTGAACACCCTGCTTTGATGGGAGGGAGGCTAAAGGGGGCAAGCACTGCTCTGCAGGGCTGTTATCCTCAACAGCAAGTCTGGAAAGCTATTCCCTGGTGTTTGTTTTATCGTCAGCTACTATAGGGCATATTATAAATGCTGTGTGATGCCAGCATTCAGTTTCCTACCCTAACAGAGTCCCTAATGAATTGTTACAATCTATTAATCATGCTTAAAAGAAATGCCTCATTTATTAACACAATATTTAATCACAGTGGTCTGCAGAGCAGCACAGCATTACACCGTAGCAACTGCCAGTCTTGTGCTTTTGCTTTTATATCTTGCTGATACATATTTTGGACAAATTAAAATCATGGAGGTTTTCTAAAAGCTCAAGAAACATTGCTGAAGAGTCCCTTAAGCCATCATCTTTCCTACCATACAGAATAAGGTCATTTAGGTGGAACCCTTTTGGAATGATAATTTATATTCTGGATGGCACAAATATGTCATTCTTTTTTATTCTAGGTTGAGTGATGCATAAATCTACGTTTATGATATATAGGGGGAAAAAAATCAGAGGAAGAGATTTTGTAATAATGCCCACATGAGTCTCTTATTAAGAAGACACGTCTAACACTTATCCTTATATCTACTTCAGATTAAGAGCCAAAGTTTGGTTCTTTCGCACACAATTACAAATTTCTGAGTGTTTAATAGTCTACAGACACAAGATGAGGTGCTAAGCAAGACGCAGCAGAAGATCTTCCAGCTGTTTAACCTAA